GAGAGAACTTGAAATACACAAAATACCAGCCAGCCATGAGGTCCAGGATAGCTAATAGGCCAATCTCATGCAATTTATGAACGACTGTCTAGCACATGAAAGGAATCTTCCCCATAGAGGCGATGCTTCAGATATGCTCACGTGCAGATGCCACACCATGACGGTCACATGCCAAGGGAGTGACTGCCCCTTTTCTGGGAGCATTTAGGTATCCCCGATCACCTACATCACCAGCAGAGGCCATCTGGTCACCTGGTAATAGCGAATCAGCTCCTCAAGCTCATCTGCGTGGATGACGATGTGAAGGCCACACAGCTGTGTGAGGCGGAACTCCAGCCCATCCACGCAGGCAAAGCACACCTAGAGCAGGAGGGTCAGTGTGAGCACCGCAGACGGGACATGGCACAACAGCAGCTGGCTTACGAGAGATGCAGCCGCAAACGCAGAAATACTAGCAAATGGAACTTTTTAAGTTGGATTCTGAACAAATAGGTAACGGTAAAATGAGTTGTGCAAGACTGGGAGAAAGAATGATGACACTGATAACCTGCAGGCCAGGGGCCTTTGACACTGCGGAGACAAGAAAGCCACGTGTTACTTCCTAGGCCCTGAGATGTGGAGGTCCGTTTAGGTGACAGGAAAGTCGTGCTGGAATTTTGGGTCTGGGGTTTAACAAAGCTCAAGAATATTGTCATCCAAGCACATTTCATCTGAGTGCCATTTACGTGGGGGTGAAGCTTGCTCTCGTCGTTTTTACACTGCTGCTTTACGCACTGCACGGTGTGTGTACACACTGGTAACAAATGTTGACAAGCAAAGAACCCTCCTGAGCAGAGAAGCCCTTGAGCTGCACTTCCTACGAGGGCTGCACCACAACAGAGCTGGGTTTGTGTGCAGGGTCCCCATCTCCACATACAGCACATGTTCTCATGGTAGAGAAAGCAGAAAATGCGGATAAATGAAAATAATCACATCACTCAGCGCCGTCAACTTGAGACAATCTTTGGCCCGCCATGTTCTATTAATATGTGTGACATACACACTAGACTTGCCAAATCTCTTACATACACCCTGGAGTTACATTATACGTTCTGCTTGACAGCATATTTCTCACATATTCTCACATAATATCGGAAAAATCTTTTCTTACGACTCCACCTATTCATTTTGAATAGCAGGGTAGAGTTGCAATGCATGTCCTATTTAATGAAGGCCTTGGTGTTGGACATTTAGGCTGGTCTTTTTTCTTTTTGTTGTTTTTTGTTTTTAGAGACGGGATCTTGCTCTGTCGCCCAGGCTGGAGTGCAGGGGCGTGATCACAGCTCACTGCAGCCTTGAATGTCTGGGCTCAGGCGATCCTCTTGATTTTGATCTTTTATTAAACAATGCTTCAGAGATTTGTTAAAACTAAATCTTTTGAACATCTCTTTGCAAAGTTTCTTCCACTTAAAAATGATTCTGAAATTATCACAGAGCCTTAAGACAATCTGCCCTACCAATTTGCCACAAAAGACCCAAAACGTCGATTTACAGTGATAATGCCAATAAGCTGACATGATTTTTAAAAGTGTTATGATAATACTTACAATACTGATAATTCCATGCTATCAAGACAACTGCTGGGAGCTGCTTGGTCTGACAGAGGGTCCTCCTGGGCCTTTGCTTCCAAGCACAAACACCAGCCTGTAAGGTTCCCTGAGCCATCCCCGAGGACTCAGACCCTGCCTAGACAGGGCCAGCTCCCAGACTCGTCCTGTGTGGAAGAAGAGTGTGGAACACAACAGGGAGACATCCTGCAGCTTACCTCCTTCCACGTGCAGGTGCAGCTGGCCTTGAGGCTGCTGTCTACAGCTGCCTAATACTCCCCGAAGTGGACCAAGGTGGACGTCAGGCAGGCAAAGTTAGAGACGTTGCTATACAGCAGTTTGGCAGCCGCGTACATGCCCTCGTCATAGCAGCGGTCTCCCACCTATGGACCACGGGGTAGCTCTACCGAGACACTCTTACATGGGCAGATTTCTCCAGAGTTCATTTTAAGTTTCTAGATAGTGGAGATATTTTTCTGTTCGCTAAAGAGTCAGTCTCCTTCTGATCACACCAGCTGCCAGGCTGCTGAAGAATGCCCACAGGACAAAGCGTACCTCCCAGCCTGACGCCCTCCTCCATCCGCCTGGTCCTGCTTGACCCTGCATCCCCCCAACACCTGCACCCCTCTGGGCCTGGGCTGAGGTGTGCTCCCTGCTGCTTCCAGGCTGTTCCTTTGCTCCCCACTAAAAACTGCGGACAACAAATCTTGTATGAGGCATCACCCATCAGCCCTACTTCCTGACACCACTTACAAATCTTCCTCATTTCCTGACCATTTCTTTGACTTCCTCCGCTCTAAGGACCTTGTCTCCCTCATGACAATAGCCAGTCACTGCCATGGCCACCCCCTAGACCTTGGCAGAGAGCTGTGAGCCCTGGGACCTCTGTCACAAGCACCCTCTGCCTGCCCAGTGCCCCCTCCTGTCCAGCTCACTGTCCTGAGTGCCTCGGCCCCATCAGTCCAGCGACCGACCAGCTTCCCCCGCCCCACCACTCTGTCTGCGCCTGGCTTGCGCTCGTCCCCAGCTGGTTCCCACAGCCAAGCTGGATGGCTCCTGGCACTCACCCTCGACTCTCCTGCTTGCTCTCAGTTCTGCTTAGAGCCAGCTCTCTGCCTACTCCACACCTGTGGCTGTAGAGCCACACAGACAGCAGGACCCCAAAGTGCTGAGGGGTCTCTCTGAAGTTGTGACACTGACCTCAGAGGGGCTCACAGTACTACCAACCCTACTTCCTTAATGTGTGGCCTCTCTTTTTGTCAGTTGATACGTTCTTTCTGCCTCAAACCTCCAGCAGGTCCTCAAGCTGGGTATCTGTCTTCCCTTTTCCTGAGAAGACAGAGACCGTCAGGAGAGCCTTCCACAGCACCACGCCAGGGGCTGACTCCACTTGCACATGTGACCTCTGCCCTTTCCCCCTGCAATAGCATCGCCCTCTGCACTGACCCATCCCTACGAGCTTAAGGAACCACTGTTAACTTCCCCAGCTTAAAACCAAACCAAACCAGTCCCACTCATGCTTTCCTCACCTACCCAGGGCTGCCAGCCTGTTCCCACCCTTCCCTTAAGAGCACATTTCTCAGCAGAGGTGTCGTATGTCTACAATAGCTGTCCCGAGTCTTCCTGTCCTCTCTGCACTTGCTCCAATCAGGCCTCTGCCCGACTCTCTGCCAGGGTCATCGCTCCTCCAGACAGATGCCGACACGGTTTCCTGGACACCCGCCAGCTTCCCTCCCACCACTCTGGCTACTCTCCATCACTACCTCTCCCTGCTGCCTGGCTTTGGAGGCCCCCGATCTCCTCTTTGGCCCGTTCCCCCAGCCCCACACCCCCTGCCATGCTCTCCCACACGGGTGGTGGCCATGGGTGTCGTCTGTACCCCAGAGGCTGTACATGAACATCTAGTCTGGACTTCTCCCAACCTAACTCCTACATCCAGTGGACAGACCCACGGCATCTTCACCCAGTGTGCCCACATCGGTAAGTGAGACCCTAGGCCCCCAGCACGACTCGCCCTCGCTGCTCCCCTTCTCACACCGTCAGCTCTGCCTCCGAGATACATCAGGAGCTGACTACACTTCCGCCTGCCTCGTCACCATCTGCGGTCGCTGCCTTGCATCAGACTGGCCTCTCTGGGCTCGCTCCTCTATACTTGTCTGTCGCTCTGTTCTGCACAGGAGCCAGAGGGCTTTGCTGACACCTGATCAGACCATGTCCCTCCTTTGCTCAAAATCCTCCAGTTTTCCCAGAGCAGAAGCCACAGTCCTGATGAAGGCCCACAAGTCTGGGCCCGTGGAGACCAACAGCTGCCTGTCCCCACTGCTGCCCACATCTCATGAGCTGGACAGCTTCACTCCTGCCACCTGCTCCTGTACACACCCAACGCTCCCCCTGCGCCCAACCTGCTCTCTGTTCTAGGGGCTCCTCCTTAGAGGGGTGCAGACTCAGCACCCACTAGGCGGCCCTGTCTGAAACTGGAACACGCACCCTCACACCCACGCCCTGCCACACTTCTCTCCTTCACACTCATCATTTAACATACTGCAATGTCTTTATGGGTCTTAGGACCAATGTGGGCAGAAATCTGACTACTATTCTCACTGCTGGTCCACAGCCCCTACTGTGGCACACAGTTGATGCTTAATAAAAGTCTGCTGATGCACCAGGCATGGTGGTACGCTGTAGTCCCAGCTACTTGAGGGGCACTGAGGCAGGAGGATTGCTTGAGCCCAGGAGTTTGAGGTTGCAGTGAGCTGTGATGATGCCACTGCACTCTAGCCTGGGCGACACAGTGACACTCTGTCTCAAAAAAAAAAAAAAAAAAAAAAAAGAAAAAGAAAAAGAGAAAAGTTTGCTGATGAATGCATAAATGAGGTGTTTTATGGAAGAGGATGATCGTGTAAGTCTTTTGTTACTGCTAAATTAAAGGGAACACAGGGAAAATGACATCTACAAATAGGCAGTGGGCTGGATCTGGCCCCTATGAACACTCTCTGCCCACCGGGCCAGCAGGTGACAGTGCTTCTGCTCTGCCCCACAGTGCTGCCGACTCAGGAGAATCCTGCTACTAATTCAGAAAAGGGTTTAGAGCAGGGTTTTGTTTTGTAACATTTTAATTCATTTTCTGATTATTAAGGCAATTTTGGAAACTATATGGTCACTGATTAAAAAAGAACATTGCAAACACAGGCAAGTAAAAAGAAAATAATATAATACTGCCAATTCCATTCCACACCTGAGAGAGTTCTTTACTGTTCCCATCACAGGCATTTTTCTAGGCATATATGTTTACCGTTGTGCATAAAGTTCCTCACTTTGCTTAAACTAACTTTGAAAGGTTTTTCCATCATCAGCCAGGTTTTCTCTTTTTTTGAGACAGGATTTGCTCTGTTGCCCAGGCTGGAGTGTAGTGGTGTCATCACAGCTCACTGCAACCTTGAACTCCTGGGCTCAAGTGATGCTCCCACTTTAGCCTCCTGAATAGCTGGGACTACAGGTTGTGCGCCACTGTGCCTGGCTAATTTCTTACAAAATTTTTTGTACAGGTGAGGTCTTACTATGTTACCTAGGCTGGTCTCAAACTCCTGGCCTCAAGTAATCCTCCTGTCTCAGTCTCCCAAAGTGCTGGTATTACAGGTGTGAGCCACTGTGCCCTGGCCTAAAATTTTTTTTATTAAGGAAAAATCCTCAATTCTTACACCTTTAATTTTTCTGTTTTCCTAACTGAGCCTCTGCAGTTCTTTGCGATTCTTTGGTTTTATCACATCCACTGCACCTCTGAGCAATATAGGTAGTTTTGCATGTTTCTGAACTTAATTTTGCTTTAATCATACTAAATGCACTCCTGCAAAACTTTTCTTTTACCCTATTCAAAAACATGGAAAAAATAAGAGCTGGGTGTGGTGGCTCATGTCTGTAATCCTAGAGACTCAGGAGACTGAGGTGAGAGGATCACTTGAGGCCAGGAGTTCAAGACCAGCCTGGACAACATAGTGAGACCCTGTCTCTACAAAAATGGAAAAAACTAGCTGGGTGTGGTGGCACACATCTGTAGTTCTAGCTACTCAGGAGGCTGAGGCAGGAAGATCACTTGAGCCCAGGAATTTGAGGCTACAGTGAGCTATAATTGTACCACTGCACTGCAGCCTGGGCAACAGAGTCAGAACCTTCTCTTTAAAAAAAAAAAGAAAAAAAAATCAATGTAATACAGCACATATCAAGAATCTAAAAAAGAAATACCACATGATCTCCTTATCAAATGAATCAGAAGATGCATCTGACAAAATCCAATACCTATTAATGATAAAATTTCTCAACTAGAAATAAAAGGGAACTTCCTCACTCTGATGAAGGACAAGAAGCCCACAGTTGGCTGGGCGCAGTGGCTTATGTCTGTAATCCCAGAGCATCAGGATGCCGAAGCAGGAGGATTGCTTGAGGCCAGGAGTTGAGAACAGCCTGGGCAACACAGTAAGACCTCATTTCTACCAAAAAAAAAAAAAAAAGGCAGCCCACAGCTGACATCATAAGCAACAGCGAGAGACTGGATGCTCAGCTCTAGCTTAGGGACCAGACCAGGATGTCCACTCTCGCCACTTCCACTCAACGCTCTACTGCAGGTTCTCACCCAGGGCATTTAGGCAAAAGAAAGAAATAAAGAGCCTCGCTCTGTGCTCTGTGACAGATGAGAGGCTGAACTCTTGCCCTGGGTCCACACGTCTCTCCTCTCCCTGGAGGCCTGCTCAAGTGCTCTGCTCGTCTCCTACTGGACTGCTTGTGTTTTTCTTTTATCTCCTCCACTCCAGGCCTTTGTTGCTTAGTTATGCGGCGAATTTCTTCTTCCCGTATGCAGCTTCCCTTTTCTTCATCTTCTTTATGTTAAAGTTCTTTAGTTTAACATAGTCCTGTTGTTTTTTTACTAAAGGTTTATGTTTTTTGTGACTGGCTTAAGAATTCGTTGGGTCATAAATATATTCTTCTAAATAGAAGCTAAAAATATTATAGTTTTGCCTTTTACATTTAAATCTTTTCACAGTATGCGACAGATGCCCAACTTTAATTTTTGCTATCTGGATGACCAATGGTCCCAGCACTGTTTATTGAAAAGCCTGT